GGGTAGCCCTAAATATATATTTTAAGCTAACAGTGACAAATAAGTCGTTATAATAAAAGTACTAATAATGAAAAAATAAATTAAAATACAAAGTATTGGCATTCGATATACTAATTAATATAACAAACACTGTTAATGAAACTAACAATAGATAAACTATCCCTCACTTTGGGAACACAAGCAGCAGCCGCCGACTTAAACTATCGCCGTAGAATTAAATATATTCGAAAGTTGCAATCTTGCTCTCCAAACATATTTCTCGACCAAATAAATGAAAAAAGTCTGAGTTTTCCTTTTTTATCAATATTTTTGAGATATGAGTTTTCATGAGTACAAGCAATGAATGATCGAATTTGTGATAGCAAACACATCATTCATCTTGTGTTATCTTTCAAAACAAATCCGAATACTTATAATCCGATTCAATTATTTCAACGGTTTTTTTATCGGGGTAAGACAATTGCTTGATAAAAAGTAACTAGTGTATTTTCTCAGATTTCCCCATAATTTGGTACAGGCAAAAATCACATAAGTTATGCAAATCAACCTATCTCGAAGTATCTATTTAATATTAATTATACAAATAGCGAATAGGAATAACAAGTTATGCAAATCAACCTATCTCGAAGTATAACTTGTTATTCCTATTCGCTATTAGTATAATTAATATTAAGTAGATGCAAATCAACCTCACACAATTTTAAGAAGCGGTCGTAGATGCTTTTTCAGAGGAATAACAACATGTGATCTTAATAAAGAGAAATATCTTGCTCTGAATGATATAAACTGTACAGTCATCTGTTCTAATCTTAAATATTCGGAATTTTAAAACACTTAAAAAGAAAAAGAAAGAAAGTTATACGATGTTTCTCCAAGAAGTTAATTTACTGCTATCATCTTATCATACTTACTTATAGCTTTACAAAATGTTGTTAGCACCATTTCAAAATATTCTTCTTAAATGGTTTTAAAACATAGCAGTTCTGAAATGTATGCAAAGTTAAAAATAAATGAGAAATAGAAATATGTAATAACTGGAATCCAAACATACATTTGTTAATCTGGGTCAAATATATTTAACAATATATTCGTCTTAAAACTGAATGCTTAATCTACCTACCTAGCATTGAAAGTTAAATATGTGAAAGAAATTTATTCGTACAGTAATATTTATAGCGTCCGAACTGTATCTAAAAATCAAAGAAGCATACATCCGGAGATAAGAAATCGTCTGAGATTTTGAAGGCTACAAAATTTAAATATCGTAAGGCTGCACAGAGTACATTATTTATAATTATGTGGTTTAAGTATATCCAATGCATGTGGGCATATCCTGAGCCCGATTGTATTTAGTACACCTCATAAAGTTTACTTTCATTGTGGGCGACTTTCTGCTGTGTGATTTTGATAACTGCAACGGCTTCATTCACTGATAACCTAAGCCTTTTAGGTTCTAAAAGGTTTAAGAAAATATCTTTTGACTTTCAGGGCAAATCACTGTAATCCTATCATAAGCCTCAATCGTCTTGGTGCAAGAGATCTTGTGTAAGCCTACTGAGACACGCCTAAGCTGGATTTAATCACACCAGGTCTACACTATAGCCATATGGTAGTTAGTATGGATTGATAGAACATCCGCGGAAGATTTGCCCGTCATATTTCAGATCCACTGAGAGAGATGCCACCAACATGCACGAGCTAGATCGCGCATTCAAGACGGTATTACACGTGGGCACCCGCGTCATTCTGTAGGCTATTTTCTACGAAATTTAAAATAATAACGTGCATGTGTAACAAATATTTAAAAAAAAGCAATTTGTTGGAACAAAATCATAAGACAAAATAACACAAGTGAAACAGCCTCTAGGGGGCGTTATTATATAACGAAAGATTTGAGTTCAACTAGACACTAGTAATTATTTCTGACTAAAATCAGTAAGATTTCTAATACCAGAGCATAAGATTCTCCTATGAAGTTTATATGAAATTATTATTAACAAAATAGTTAACTTTAATTGATTTACTTTTTTTTCACTCATGTATATATATATACAATTGTTCTAAACATATAAGGAAACATACACAAGTAGAGGAATGTTCAACTAACTGTATGACTGTAGAAGACCTCTAACGTGAGCTGTGAAATTTGCAAGACTGAATCAGTCTTCTTGTGCTCGTAAACTTTCGCAGGAACATGAGTCACAATTTTGTGATTCTTCAAATATATGGATCCTTTCTCGTGTTTACCTGTGTCTCCATCTTTCCGGAATTATAACGGATGTATTTATATAAATACCTACACGTGTACACTTGCACAGTGCACATGCTGTAAAAGCGACTAAACTTTCCATTTTCTTTTTCTACTTTATACACTTTTACATTTTTTATTTACGTTAGCGATAATTAGGCCTATTTGCCTTTAGTCGGAATCTATCTATTTATACATATATATTTCTCTTTCTTTTAATCCCCTATCTACCTACATATTTAATTCTCTGTCTATAGTAACGTTCTATAGAGATTTAAAAAATTGTATCGAGAGTACCAGGTAGAAACATTTCACATTTCCAGCAGCTTTCTATATAAATTGGATAACATGATTTCTTTCTTTTAACTAGTTGAAAAGCCACAACTCTTGTTTGAGTTAAATTGTCACGGGTGATCTTTTATACATGATTACATAACATAATATACAGGCACAACAAGGGACCTATTGGTCCATCTAGGCTGTCACATCCACTAAACTAAACTGCTAAAAGAAAACAAAAACTGTCAAAGCCAGCCCAAGTCATTCACATATTTATCAAGTCTTCCCTCAAACTCACTTAAATTTACTGCCTCCAACCCATTCCAAAGACCAACTACCCTGTTAGAAATTAGAGAAATAAAACTGTCTCAGTTGAAACTGATTCCTACCCTGCCAAAATTTATATTTGGGCCCCCCTAGTCTTACCATTCTCACTATTAAGTATGAAAAAAGATGATGCATCAACACCATCAATTCCCCTAACACTCTTAAACATCTCAGTCAGATACCCTCTAACTCATATTTTTTCAAGAGAAAATAATTTCAGAGATCTTAACCTCACTTCAAATGACAACCTCTCAATCTAAGGTATTATCCTAGTAGCCCTCCTCTGAACCCTTTCCAACAAGTCAATGTCCTTCTTAAGATGAAGAACCCAAAACTGAAGAAAATATCTCAAACGTGGCCTAACCAGTGACCTATACAATGAAGTTATAACCTCTTTAGACTTGTATTCAATATTTC